ACGCTACAATTACATAAACAAGTAATCGCCACACTCTGGTAAGTACAGACTCTGTGGAAAGAAGGTGAACTCCAGGAGTCAGACTTCTCTGGGTTCAACTTCCAGTTCAACTAAAAATTAGCTGGGTGAGCTCAGGCAAACTGCGTAGCCTCTCAGTCTCCTCATGTGAAGAATGGGTACAAATATTATTATTTACTTTCCAAGGTTGTTGTGAGGAAGGAGTGAGATCAAGTACTGTAAAGCAGTTAGCATGCCATAACCACAAGTTGCTTATTAGCGGTAGTAACACTATTACTATTATTACTAAAGGTACAATCAGCAGAGTACTGTGGACCCACGGAGACCAAAGTAGCTAATTTCACTGGTGTGGCAAGAAAGAGATTATTCTGGGAACGCCTGGGGGGCTCAGTCGGTTAAGCGTCCAACTCCTGATTTCAGCTCGGGTCATGATCTCCCGGTTCGTGAGACCGAGTCCCCATGTCCGGCTCTGCGCTGACGAAGCAGAGCCTGCTTGGGAGTCTCTCTCTCCCTCTCTCTGTCCTCCCCTGGTTGTGTGCACCTGCGCTCTCTCGCTCTCAAAATAAATAAATAAACAAAAGCTTAAAAAAAAAAAGAAAGATATTATTCTGGTTCTCCCAAGTCAGACTAGACAACCTGCCCAGCAGGCTACCACAGTGAATTTTGACCCAGAAAATAAAGGGCTTCGTGCCATTTAAAACCGCAGATGCTACAATGTGGAACTCCAACGATCTCCTCCAACGATCCCCTGGATGGTAGACCACCACCAACTCTCATGTGACGATTAGCACCCAGGACATTTTCAACAGCATTCTGCAGATAGTCAACACGTCACATACAACTGCACGTCACAATTCACAGTTTATTAGCGTTAAAAAACTGTGTTTTGCGTGCTTTGTGCGATCGTCAGCCTCAGGTTCTCACAGTTGTTAAGCCCTGGGGTATTCCAACTCCTGCGTAAGTCTCCCGCTGGATGTGCCGGTTACTATGGAAACAAGGTCACTGTGTGGGAGGGGCTTGAGGGAAGCGTATTCCTGGCACAGCCACGAGCAATGGACAGAGAGAAACAAAATTAGACACATTTGTGCCTGGACCGCCACGGTCCAGCCACAACAGCGTGACAAGGATGCAGAATGCTGTCTACAGTCAGGGCTCTGTGGGCAAGTTGACGCGGTATAGAGAGAAAGAGGGGCTAAGGCAACTGCCCACAGGGAGCTGTTTTCCCTGGGGTTCCAGAAGCAACACCCAAGATCGTATTTCATCTTGTCTACTTATAAGAAAAATTCCCTCTCCTTTTACAATGGGACATTCTTCCGTCCCGTCCCCTTCGGGCAGCCACCCTGAAAACTTGCAGTTAGTGAAAAGCACCCAGTGGAAGTCACTGCAAACTCTGTTCTCTATAAGGAGGACGGAGTATGAGCTGGTGTCCCTCTTACGTAACTGAAACCAGTGGCTCTCACAGCTTGCTGCCCATAAGAATCCCCTGGAAGGCTGGTTACAACACAGTGCTGGAGGTGGGGGGTGGGGGGGGCGGCCCCTGGGTGGCTCAGTCAGCTAAGCGTCCGACTTTGGCTCAGGTCACGATCTTGTGCTCTGTGGGTTCGAGCCCCGCGTCGGGATCTGTGCTGACAGCTCAGAGCCTGGAGCTTGCTTCAGATTCTGTGTCTCCCTCTCTCTCTCTCCCGTCCTCTGTTCATGCTCTGTCTCGCTCTTGCTCTCAAAATATTATTTATTAAAAAATAACTAAGTAAACCAACAAACACACAGTGCCAGGTCCCCCCTCCCCAGAGTTTCTGCCTTTAGTAGGTGTAGGATGGGGCACAAGAATGAGGATTTCTTCTTTTTTTTTTTTTTTTAAGTTTTTTAACAGTGTATTTATTTTTGAGACAGAGACAGACAGAGTATGAGTGGGGGAGGGACAGAGAGAGAGATGGAAACACATAATCTGAAGCAAGCTCCAGGCTCTGAGCTAGCTGTCAGCACAGAGCCTGACGCTGGGCTCGAACCCACAAAGCATGAGATCATGACCTGAGCCGAAGTCAGCCACTTAACTGACTGAGCCACCCAGGCGCCCCAAAAATTGGGATTTCTAACCAGTGTGGGGGCCACACTTGGGAGTAGCATCAATTCTATAACTGAAAAAACAGGCCTCTAAAGTCCTTAAAAGTAAACAAGTATTTCTTAAAAGGTCAAGGCCATCACGTCATGGCAAAGACAGCCTTTTGGACATTCTATACAATTCTCAATACCTTTTCGCCATTTTTATAAATACAGCAAAACCATTGCTCTCTCAGGGGCACATGGGCGGCTCAGTCAGTTAAGCATCCAACTTTGGCTCAGGTCATGATCTTGCTCCTGTTCGTGGGTTCGAGCTCCACGTTGGACTCTGTTCGGATAGCTCGGAGCCAGAGCCTGCTCTGGCTTCTGTGTCTCCCTCTCTCTCTCTCTGCCCCTCCCCCACGCATGCTCTCTTTCTCAAAAATAAACAAACATCACAAAAATGTTTTTAAATGTTCTACAATCATATCTTATCTCATTACATTTTATCAAATTCATCTTATCACATTTCTTCTCCTTCACCTGATCTTACTACAGGATCCCTTTATCATTTTTCTCCACCCGTTCTCCTGACTCAGTATTTCCCTCAAACAGGACTTCAATGTTCAGCCCACATCTGCACAACATCTGCGACATGTTCCCACTTTTCCCCCCAACTTCCTTCACCGGGGTCTGCTCTCCCTACAGAAGTAAAAAGTAGCCATGAGCAGTTCCCACTTTCTATACATACTGATGGGAGGGGCCAACTTTTCCTCGTGTATATTAGGAACGCTTTGCAAAGTCCATCTTTTGAAATTATACTCAACCATGGGAGCAAGGCATGGTTACTAAACTCAACCAAACCTCTCGAATGACAACAGCATGAATTATCAAATAACATTCTGAAAAATACTGACCAAGTCGCTAACATTTCTAGACCAGGGATTGGCCAAGTATAGCAGGTGGGTCAACTACAGCCAGCTACCTGGTTCGGTATGGGCTAAGCATGCTTTTTATTTTTTATTTTTTAAATGTTTTATTTATTTCTAGAGGAGAGAGGAGACAGCGTGAGCAGGGGAGGGTCAGAGAGAGAGGGAGTCACAGACTGAAACAGGCTCCAGGCTCCGAGCTGGCAGTCAGCACAGAGCCCGACGCGGGGCTCGAACCCACGAACCGCGAGATCATGACCTAAGCGAAAGTCGGACGCTTAACGACCAAGCCACCCTGGTGCCCCGTGCTTTTTACATTTTTAGATGGTTGAAAACATCAAAAAACTTACAGTTTTGTGATGCATAAAAAATTATATGAAATTCAAACATCCGTGTCCCTAAACCACGTTTTACTGGAACACAGTCACACGTTTGTTACAGACTATCAGTGGCTGCTTTCGTATTGTAATGGCAGGGCTGGGTGCTCGTAACAGAGGCCTTATGGCCTACAAGGCCAAGAATATTTACTATCTGACTCTTAACGAAAAATGTTGCTGACCCCCACTCTACACCATTTCCTAGGGACCATCTTGAGGAGATAGATGTATGGAAAGGCAATGTAAATTGGGGATAAGGTAACTTTAGGAGCTTCCAGGTGACACATGAAAATAATCATTCAGGAGCTCATATATGAAGGGTTCTATATTTTTTAAAAATAAAAATAATAATAAAATCAACCATTCATCAGTAAGGATGTGCTCATGCACTGTTGGTGGGAATGTGAACTGGGGCAGCCACTGAGGAAAACGACAGAGAGGTTCCTCAAAAAATTAAAACCACCGTATGAGCCAGTAATTCCACTTCCGGGTATATATCCGGAGGACATGAAATCACTGTCCTGAAGAGATATCATACCCCCCACAGTGGCATTATTTACAATAGCCAAGACATGGAAACCACCTAAGGGTCTAGCGACAGATGAATGGATACAGGAGATGTGGTATATGGACGCAATGGAATATTAGCGAACCATAAAACAGGAGGAAATTCTGCCATTTACAACTACATGAACGGACCTTGAGGGCATGAAGGCAGAAGTGAGGGCAGAAGTGAGGGCAGAAGTGAAAGCACTTCTCGGACAGAGAAAGGCAAATACTGTATGATCTCACTTAACATGTGCAATCTCAAAAAACCAAACTCCTAGAAACAGACCAGGTTGGTGGTTGCCAGACTTGGGGGTTGGGTTAGGGGGTTAGGAAGATGGGTGAAAGGGGGGGTGGGTCAAAAGGTACAGACTTCCAGCTCTAAGATCAAGAAGTCCCAGGGACTTAATGTACAACAAGGTGACCATAGTTAACAATACCCTACTGTGTATTTAAAAGTTGCTGAGAGAGTAGATCTTAAAAGTTCTTATCAGGAAAGGAAAATAAAAGTTGTAACTGTGTGAGGTGACCCATGGGAACTAATCTTCCGGTGGTGATCACTGTTTTCTATCTCTTTTAAAATTTTTCTTAACATCCATTTATTTTTGAAGGAGAGAGAGAGAAAGAGACAGAGCATGAGCGGGGGAGGGGCAGAGCGAGAAAGGGACACAGAATCTGAAGCAGGCTCCAGGCTTTGAGCCATCAGCACTGAGCCCGATGCGGGGCTCGAACCCACAAGCCGAGAGATCGTGACCTGAGCGGAAGCCGAATGCCCAACCGACTGAGCCACCCAGGCGCCCCTACTTTTTTTCCAAGCATACATATCCAATCTTGATGTTGCACACCTCAAAATGATAGAATGTTCTATGTCAAGTGTATCTCAATAAGACTGGGAAAAATAAATAAAATAACCACTCAGCGATGAGCCTCTCAATACCTGCATGTTAATCCAGTTTCATTAAAAAGCTCTGACAGCATGTTCCTGGGCTTTTAATTACACAGGCTGAGCAACGCCAGTCCCGCCATGGGGCCCATAGCATCAACCCACCACCTGTGGGAAAGAACAGACCAAAATCATGGTCCCCTCATGCACCTGTCTTTCTCCATGAACTTCTTAAAGTCCCTCTGATGAGGTGTGGGCATGAGGCCTATGCAGGTGCGGAGAGAGTCCTCCTCAGAACCAAAGCCGTTGTAAGGTGGAAATTTCCTTTTTATTTTCAGAGGAGGCGGAGCCTTGCATGAAATGGAGTTGAAGTTCTCTGCAACAAAACAAAGGCAAATGAGACATCAATCGTTTTTTTTGTTTTGTTTTGTTTTGTTTTGCCCCGATTGTGGCTGTTTCGAAAGGTCTGTTATGTTTTTAAGATGGACATGGAGATCTCTGTGGACTATTTTAAACTCTTTCAAAGAAAACACAGCAAAATCCTGGGAGGGGAGGTTTCCATCGTGTTTACAAAACCACAGAACTCACTCAATAATCGCCACTGGTTGAAAAGAAAGGAAGGGAGAAAAAAAAAAAAAAGAAACGGCCTATGTCAAATAAGTAAACATTTCTCCTTTGTCATCACATCCCTGTTTCTGACTATTTTTTGTTCTTCCGTGACTTTCCCAATGATATGAAATTCAAACTCGGAATGCTTTGCCACCCGCCCAACCCAGATTTTAACCTGGAATTCAGCCCTCTCCGGTCTTCACTCAACACTCCCTAATCAAACTCCTTCCCAAACAGGCCCGATTCCTCACTGTTTTGCCTTTACCTTCCCCTTGCACCGTCCCCTCCTTCAGGCCACTTCTTTTCCTTCAGCTCAGCTCCAGGCCGTGGCACTTCCCCATCTGGTTACAAAACCAAACCGAAACTCCTCACCGGCCACGGCTCTGGGTTGCTCTTGTTTTGGTGCCCAAGAAAAGGCTGCAATTGTACTCAAATGTGATGGAGGCAGAAAAACCAAGAATAAAACCGAAAACAAATACACAAACTTGAAAAAATAGACACCGCTGACTCGCTCAAAGGGAGCGTCCTGTGTAAGTGCTTTTCTTTATTTTTATCCGATGTGAGGATGGAGCGATGGGCAGAGGGCTGGGGACATATGTGAAATAGCCTGGGAGCTGTTACGCACTCATCCGTGAGGCTATATCATCTCCAAGTCACTTGTGTTTGCCCCACCACACAAAGGGCAAAGAAAATGCCAGAATCTTTCTGAAAACAAAGCAACACAACAAAACAACTCATGCAATAATCTAAGCTTGAGTATCTCATAGGTGTTGCCATTCATGATAAGCAATGATTTCCTTTTCCCCATCAACCTTTTTTTTTATTAATGTTTATTTTTGAGAGAAAGCAAGTGAGCATGCTCAGGGGAGGGTCAGAGAGAGAGGGAGACATAGAATCTGAAGCAGGCTCCAGGCTCTGAGCTGTCAGCACAGAGCCCGACGCGGGACTCGATCCCACAACCCGGGAGATCATGACCTCGGCAAAAATCGGACACTAAACCGACTGAGTCACCCAGGCACCCCTCCGCTGTCAAAGTTCGAATAGAAGGAAGAGAAGAGATTTAAAGCACACCTCTATACTTGAAAATACACATCAATTTGTCATCCGAGGCAACCAACCTCTTAACATTGAGGGTTTTGGTTTTTTTTTACTGATCAAGCAAATGGCTAAGGGTCTGAGGCTGTTTCTAATCTGATTTGAAAACATTCTCAACTTTCATGTTTCCTTAGGCTTCCTTATTTCCTTAGCCTTTGTGTGTCAAATCCCCTCAAGCATAATACCCCCAAAGAGTATTGTTCTGCCCTAACCAAAACCGTTCACAGAAGACTTACTGGTGAAGAGAATGCCGTCAAAGATTTCTCTCTGGCTCCATGAAAGGGACCAGTCAGCCAGCCCATACAGAAGTGGCTTAGGATCCTCTCCTATTGCTATTTTCGTGGCAATTAAAATCTCGGTAATAAAGAGGAAAGTTCAAATCTTGGAATTAGGCAGAGCTGCCGTCGACCCATATCACTGATAACCGGTAAATCAAACACACCACTGCGGGGCACCTTGGTTTCAGGGAAAGGACCACAGGACGGCAGGGAAAGCTCGATGTGATTGTTAGAAAATCGAGGCATGATCAGTTTCTTCTTGCAGGGGACGCACACATACATACAGCCCTACCTACTGATCTTAACGGTGTCACCAAAAGGGGACATATACCGAACCACAAAATAATTTAAGAATGCCTTCTCTGCCTCTCCCCTCCCCGGAATGACAGGTTTTATAACAGTGTTGTTTGCTCTCAACTACATAATTTTTGCAACAGATTTAAGTAACAAAAGAACCAATTTAGAGCTTTCCTCTGCACCCACAGCGCCATCTAGTGTATAGAAGCCGAGACGTGTTCCACTCTGTCATGCCTGACTTTGGTATCACGTACGTCTTTTTGGATACTCTGACTCCAGATCGCATTTCTCTGGGTAACTGTACAACTCACAAGGCTTTCGACTTGCACCTCAGTATGTTTCCTGTCTGGTTTTCGATCATCCAAGCAACCTGCATGCCTCAGGTATTAAAACATGTTTGTTGAATAAATGCAAAATTATACATTTTTGTACGTGGCATCTTCCCAAATACCTTCTTAAATGGCACTCTGAACTCTGAGACACATCTGTGTTTCCAACAGCCTGATTCCTCTTATTGTGAGCGACTTGTAAAATGCATGTATATTGAATCCCTACCCACGAATAACTAGATTCCAACAGAATTACAGAAAGATGATGTTTTTATTTGAGAAAAAAATTTTTTAATGTTTATTTTTGAGAGCGAGAGACAGAGGATGAGCAGGGGAGGAGCAAAGAGAGAGGGAGACACAGAATCCAAAGCAGGCTCCAGGCTCCGAGCTGTCAGCACAGAGCTGGGCACAGGGCTTGAACCCACAAACCACGAGAACATGACCTGAGCCGAAGTCAGATGCTCAATTGACTGAGCCACCCAGGCGCCCCAGAACAATGATGTTTTTAAAAGGAATCTTAATGATCTTTCACGGTGTTTTACTATTTGCCATCTCAGTTGGAAACAATGCTGGACAAAGCCTTTAATCGCCTCAAAGTTCTTTTTTTTTTTTTTTAACATTTGTTTACTTTGAGAGCAGAGCATGAGTGGGAGAGGGGCAGAGGGAGATAGAAAGAGAATCTCAAGCAGGCTCCACATCATCAGCACAGAGCCGGACACGGGGTTCAATCTCACGAACGAACCATGAGACAGTGACCTGAGCTGAAATCAAAAGTCAGCCGCTTAACTGACCAAGCCACCCAGGCGCCCCTCAAAGTTCATGCTGTATGTTCTAGTAACCCAGATACGGACCCCGATTTTGGGAGGCCTGAAGCTTACATAATTTGGGAGAAGTGCTTCAATACAAAGACTGCCAAATCACGAAGACAAAATTCGGTTCAGGGCTTTAGATTGGGGCTCAGGCAATGGAAGAATCCTACAGCTCAGACTTCATTAACATCAGAGTAAACCCCCCTCAGCTTGGACCTAATGCCCAGGCCAAATGGTTTTGGTGGGATGCTCGTTCTGGGGTCAAATAATTAGTGAATCACGTAATTCCTGAGCTCTCGCTAGAAAATCCTTAGGGTTTACCCATTCCTCAACCCCCTCTGTACTTCATGGTGGAGGAAAAAAGAGGCAAAATCGTCCGCTCCATAAAGGCCATGCGATGCAACCAGAAGCGAAGCCTACCCCTGATGCCACTAATTTGCTCAGATGACCGTTAAATTCTCATCTTGGATGTCCCACTGCTTTCCAGCGCCAAGAGTTCAGAGTTCATTAAGAGGCCAGAAATAAATCCACAAAATGAAAGATGCTTTCAAGAATGCTGCTCTCATCCTTAACGTCAGCACAGCCTGAGATGCACTTAAGAGCAATGGAAAGAGCTGGGTTTCTGACTGGTTTGGGCTGTCCCAGCTAGGAAGGTTGGATAAGCAAGTCCCCCTAGAGGAAAGCAGTAACAACCCAAGGCAAGAACTGTAGGTGACAACAGGTTACATTCAAGTCCCCGTTCCTTCAGTGAGAGCAACTCTTGCTGGAGCCCCTTGGAGCCTTTTCTAACCTTTATGCTACAGGAAAGTCCAACAGGCTTCCATCTGCCAGTGCGCGTTCATCCGCAGGAAATAATGAGGCAGTGACCTGCCAGAGCCCAGCAGGTGAGCCAGGGCCAGCGGGATGGCCAAGCTGCCTAGTGGGAGAGGCACACTGGAATGTTCTGCGCGAGGAGTCTATGGAATTGCTTTCTTCTTAGAATCCTTAAACACACAAAAGAACCTTGTCTTTTTTTTAGGAGTCAAATGGGGTTTGACACACGGGTACCAATCTCTCTTGGAATTCTATCGAGCCCGCTGTTTCTACACAAATACAAAGCTTACCCTTGCACCTTCCTTGGGACTAGGACCAAGTCTTTCTCTTTGTCTGCCAACCCCCGCCCCCAAATCTGTTGGGGTGTCATCAGATAGGAGAAGATACTACAGTACTGAGGTGGCATTTACCAATCTCTCCCGGGTCCCTCTTGGGAGGTCCCAGGGGTGCGCTCAGCGCCTGTCTGCACCTTCCCGCGGCACTGCCGAGTGAAGACCCGGGCATCTCACTGACCACAGTTACTGACAAGGGAGGAAGTGCGACCATGCTTATGGACAGGACTCTGTTCTGCTTTGGGCTTCGAGGATACCAGGATATAATGCGTAAAATGCGGTCCTCTGAGTTTACAGAAGCAGAGGAGTTGTATAAACAAGATCGAGACGTCAGAAGTAACTGTATCTGCGTAACATCAAGGAGACTAGCTTAACCTTACCAAGAGGTCAGAAAAGGCAAGGTGACGATTATCAGAGACTGCGGATTCACGACCCGCCTGACCCCGCCCTGCCTGCATCATGGGTGTAATTTCTAGTCATTACTTACATTAAGTACACTGTTGTTACTCAAGAAATGTTGTGTAATAATAGCGTCTGTTCAATGGGATATTGTAACATATGTTATGAGAAATATAAAAAGTCAGCGTGACTATAAACCGCATCATAATTTTGCATTTGCATAATTTTCTCTTTAAATGCATGATGCTTGGGTTATATTAGCTTTAAAGGCACAGACTCCTTTTTTTTTTTTTTTTTTTAACACGTAATGCATCATTCTAGAGAGTGAACCATGGAAGTAAGCGTAAAGAAATTAAGCACTAGGGCTCAACTGAAATGGACCAGGAGGCATCAAAAGCTCATCTGTTTGCCGAAGATGGCTAGATTTAGAGGACGCCGGTGAAGTCGCTTGGTCTCTGCAAGCTCCCTGCAAACCTCTTAGGAGACTAACATGCCGTGTGTCACCAGTACTACGTTCATTTTCCAAGATGCCACCTTTGTAGTAGCAAAATCAAGCTGACAGACAAATGTTAACCGAACGCTGGGCTTTGTGCTGACGGGATCAGATGAGGTTTTGAACCCTTTGCCACATCCTTCACACGAAGACCCTCTTTCAGTAGGACACAAGTCAACATCTTCAGTTAACTCATCTTTCCTATATATGGGTTTTGATTTTTTTTTTTTCAAATTTTAAGTCTACACCAAAGACTTACTGCTTCTAAACAGGCACTGACATTTATTAAAAGCCCAGTTCTTCTTCCCAGAGATCTATGGGCCACTAGCAACTTCTCTCCAACAGCCACCACACGCACATTCCCGGCTGCCTTGTGTCCACGGTCCCCAAAACGAATGTGCCGAACTATGTCCACGAGGGAGGGCGACTTTTAGGCAACGACAGGAAGAGATCACAACGTGGCCCCCTGAGGCTAATCTGGCAAGCAGGTGTGGCGGAACAGATTCCCTTAAAGAACTGAAGAGTGAAGTCCCAAGTCTTTTTTATCTCAATCCTTTGTGTAACCTGTGTGTCTTCTCCCAGGATAGAAAGATTCCCAGGAGGTCAGGAAAGGACACAATGGGACACTGAGACATTCTAGAAACAAAGTGCCTTGTCTTTCAGGAGGGCTGGGGCTGCTTCTGGCTTCTATCTCAATCCCGGGGGAGGAGTGCTCATAGGAACGCTCAAAGGTTCAGAGAGGGGGACAGGAGGAAGCGCTCTGCCCCAGCTCCAGACCCCAGCCTGGGAGGTGGGCAACCCCCCCTCCCCACTACCACTTCCACTTGGGGGCAGGTACCTGGAGCAGGGCCCAGGAAGGGGGGCAGGGCTGGCTGGCACAAACGACGCTTTGTCTGTGTAGGTTTCGTGTCAGCTCCCTCCGTCTGCTCCTGCGATTCTCGAAACACCATGTAACGCGCTATAGATTTGTGCTCTCCTTCTCCTTCTGGCCTAAGAAACTCTTTAACTCCGTAGCCCCTAAGTCCTACTACAATAACCTGAACCTAGTAGGTTCTTTTTTTTTTTTAAGCTTATTTATTTGGGGGGGGGGGAGAATCCTAAGCAGGTTCTGCGCCGCCAGCACAGAGCCTGATGCGGGGCTCAAACTCCCAAGCGGTGAGATCGTGACCTGAGCTGAAATCAAGAGTCAGACGTTTAACCGACTGAGCCACCCAGGCAGCCCCTCCCCCTAGTAAGTTCTTAATAAACCACTTTTTTGCATTCTGAACTGAATTCATCTGAAGAGAACGGGTATCTAAGGAGAGAGACAAGCTGGAACCATAGGTGGGCTTCACCAGGAAAGGCAGAGCCAATTGGCACAAGACAATCTCCCAGAGGGCTCAGATAAGTGGTACATCCATTGGAGTAAGCGAGAATTCAGTGAGAAGAAAAGCATTCAGATTTCCATTTCAGTTGCTCAACCAGAGAACACTGAACTCAAATTGTACTGAGGCAGAGGGCTGGCTATAAAGGAAAATGGAAGCCCCTGGCATCAGGTAGACAAGTTCAAACCTCAGCTTGCCCTTCACTCACTGCATAGCCTTCGGCAAGTTAGCCCCTCTTTTCTTTTCTTTTATAGTTTATTGTCAAGTTGGCTTCCATATAACACCCAGTGCTCATCCCAACAAGTGCCCTCCTCCATGCCCATCACCCCTTTTCCCCTCCTCTCCCACCTCCATCAGCCTTCAGTTCGTTCTAGTATTTAAGAGTCTCTTGTGGTTTGCCTCCCTCCCTCTCCTTAACTATTTTTTCCTTTCCCCTCCCCCATGGTCCTCCGTTAAGTTTCTCCTGCTCCACATAGGAGTGAAAGAAAACATATGGTATCTGTCCTTCTCTGCCTGACTTATCTCACTGAGCATTAACACCCTCAAGGTCCATCCATGTTGCTACACATGGCCAGATTTCATTCTTTCTCATTGCCATGGAGTATTCCATCGTATAGATAATCCATATCTTCCTAATCCATTCGTCAGTTGATGGACACTTAGGCTCTTTCCATGATTTGGCTATTGTGGAGAGTGCTGCTATGAACTCTGGGGTCCATGTGCCCCTATGCATCAGCACTCCTGTATCCCTTGGGTAAATTCCTGGCAGTAAGTTAGCCTCTTTTAAGCATCAGCTTCTTCACCTCTAAAATGGGGATGGTGAGCCTAAAATCGTTGTTAGGATTCGCCTAACCAGCGAGTGCTCAGTAAATGGTAGCTATTATGAGCTTGGCATTTGAAACTCAAAAGTAAAATCCTAACTACAGAACAAAGATTCTAAGCGTTTAAATATTATTTTCTTATTTAAAATGTTTTTTTTTTTTTTTAATTTTAGAAAGAGAAAGAGACAACACAAGTCACGGAGAGGGACACGGGAGAATCGCAAGTAGGCTCCATGCTCAGTGCAGAGCCCAATGCAGGGCTCCATCCCACGACCCTGGGATCATCCTCTGGGCAAAAATCAAGAGATGGACGCTCAACCGACTGAGCCACCAGGCGCCCCTAAGTATTCTTTTCTTTTCTTTATTATTATTTTTTTTTTACAAATAGTTTATTGACAAATTAGTTTACCTAAGTATTATTTTCTAACTGATATATCTCACTTACCAATTCCATATTTAGTCTTGTAATAAGTCTTTGTGAATTCATCACAGTCGCAAAGAAGCACTTTTCTTCCCCACACGTTGATGGTGGCTCCTATGAACAGGTCACCGTCTTTGTAAAACTCCTGGTCCACTTTTCCTAGCTGATAAAAACAAAGCAACAAGGCACTGGCACCACAGACCCTCTGAAGACCTAGGCATCCTTTCCCAAAAGAAAAAACAAATTGTAAAAAAAACCACAAAAAAACAAAAAACCCTCAATTATATCATTTATAATCAATTTCACAAGGGAATCCATGACTCACCCTATATTTTCGGGTGCCGGGAAAGTCACATCGGAAACAGCAACAAAACGTGAGGTTCCTCACCTTGTATTTATCCAACAGATAGTCATCCACCCGTTTCCCTGACGTGCCACTATACACATTAAGAACTGCTCGATCTGTTATCTGACCTGGCTGAAAGACTCCAGGAGGGCCAAACTGGAAGAGAAAATCCAAACAACGTGTGGTAGGTGGCCTAGTGAACACGAAGACAGTCACGGTGAGGGGCTCAAGCAGGAAATATGCACAGTATGGGAAAGGGAGCAAAACGCACCCCCTGAAATATGCCTCTTGGGTGTATGGACTATTTTGAGCTGGTTATTCTGAACAAAACAGCACACCCAGGAGAAGCGGAGTACAAGTTACCCTTTACTTAGAAGCATTTGTAAGAATGTCTCCCTCTCGGTACCAGGAAGAGAAGGCAGGCTGAAAATCTCTAAAACCTCTGACCCATGGGGAAGACAACAACCTAAATCTGCGTAACAGCCTCACTCTTGTTTACCGTGCTTTCCTTGGTGACCCCCTATAACCGGCTTCACCCCCCCCCCCCCAACCTGGCAACTTGTTCCCCATTGAGCCAGAGAAGGTATGTAAGGTGATGGCTTGGGCCATTTCAGGGCGCTACTCCATTTTCCTAAATCTCTCTCCTGAGTGCAGGAAGTATACATGTTATTAAACGTTCGTTGGGTTTTCTCCTGTTAATCTGTCTTTTATTACCGATGGTGGGGGGCATGGTTATCAGCCTGGAAGGGTAGAAGGAAACGTAATCCGCCCCCCACCAAATATGGTTCTTTTCTGCCCTATACTTCCACACCCATCCTTCAAGGCTGTGCTAAAGGGCCGTCTTGGGGCGCCTGGGTGGCTTAGTCGGTTAAGCGTCCGACTTTCGCTTGGGTCATGATCTCGCGGTTCGTGGGTTCGAGCCCCGCGTCGGGCTCTGTGCTGACTGCCAGCTCAGAGCCTGGAGCCTTTTACGGAGTCTGTGTCTCCCTCTCTCTCTGACTCTCCCCTGCTCACGCTGTCTCTCTCTCTCTCTCCTAGAAATAAATAAAAATATTAAAAAATAAAAAAATAAAAAATAAATAAATAAAGGGGCGTCTTGCCCCTGGCCCTTCCCCTCCTCCTAGCCCGGCCTCCGTCCACACCTCCATAGCACCTACCACAGGGCTAGACCACGCCTTGTGGTTCTCTGAACAACAGCAGCCTTCTTCTCTCTTCACTAAACTACGAAATGCCCCGAGGAACAAACTGTGCCCTGCCTTCTTCATCCAGCCTAGCCTCCTGCCCAACCGTTAGCTCAGGAAGCACCAGCCAGCAGGCCGAGGGGGCAGTAGGCAGAGGTGGCAAGAGCCCCAGAGTGCGGTCGGCCTCTAAGAAACCGTGGCCCGGAGCAAGCCACCGTTCTGCTCCGTGCCACGCACCCAATGTGGACCCGGCAGCTGCGGGAGCCACAGGCAAGGTCTTCGCTCACTTAACTAAACTGAAAGTGATCCGTTTCTCACACACAGAGGAGAAATCTGAATCATCCCGCATAAGTGGGACAGAAAATGCAAGTTCAAACGTGTGAATGTATGATGCGTGGGGTGTGAGTGAGCCGTGTGACACAGAAAAACAGTATGCTTGGAGCAATGTCTCTCTTTGCCACTTACTAGCTACAGGACTTGGAGCCAGGTATTTACCTTCTGGGAACTTCAGTTTGTGGTTTTGTGCTTTTTTAATGTTTATTTTTGAGAGAGACAGAGACAGAGCACAAGCGGGGAAGGACAGAGAGACAGGAAGATACAGGATCCGAAGCAGGCTCCAGGCTCTGAGCTGTCAGCCCAGAGCCCGACGCGGGGATGGAACCCATGAACTGTGAGATCATGACCTGAGCTGAAGTCGGACGCTTAACCGACTGAGCCACCCGGGAGCACCCCTTCCCCCACCCCGAGAACTTCAGTTTTGTCAGCAAACTGCAGTAATAGTACTGATTGCTTGCCCTCTCAAAGGATGCTTGAGTGTCAAGGGATTGCTTACTGCTAGCTCCTCTCTCGGCCAGGAGAATGTAAGATCCCTGAAGCAGGACTTGAAACCCATTTTTCTTCTCACTATAACTAACCCCCGGAGCCAGCACACCGCGGACACTTGATAAATATTTGCTGGGTGAATGAATAAAGGAAGCTATGAATGTGAAGATACACTGCAAATATCAGGCATGTCATTACCATTTTTTATAATTAGTCTACTGGTCAAAGCCAGTCTGAAAACAGGCTTCCCCCGCCACCTGCTGTGCAGATCCGGAGCCCCGCCCACCTCGGACAAATCTTCCCCCTTCCCCCAGCCCAAGCAACACAGCAGGGTTTCTGGTGGTGGGCTCAGAATCCTCGAAGCCTAGATACCCACGGGGAGTTTCAATTCTTTTTTTTAATTAAGTAGGCTCCATGCCCACCATGGGGCTCGAACTCATCACCTTGAGATCAAGAGCTGCACACTCTACCTACTGAGCCAGCCAGGCACCTAACCATCAGTTGTCTGTAGGAAAATGAGTGGTATAGTAACCTCCTCAGTCGCGCTAAGAATTAAGCTAAAAAAAATATTTTATCCAAATAACAAATAAAACATAACACAGGACTGTGAAAAAGCCTTTATGGGGTTTTTTTTTTTTTATGTTTTATGTATCCTTGTGTTTACAGGTTCTTAGTGTTTTGTTTTGTTTTTCTACTATATCATCTCATTCAGCTTTTTTTTTTTTAATGCTTATTTTTGAAAGAGAGGGAGAGACAGAGCATGAGCTGGGGAGGGCCAGAGACAGAGGAAGACACAGAATCCGAAGCAGGCTCCAGGCTCTGAGCTGTCAGCGTGGAGCCTGACACGGGGCTCGAACTTGTGAGCTGTGAGATCATGACCTGAGCTGAAGTCAGAGGCTTCACTGACTGAGCCCCCCAGGTGCCCCCATCCCATTCAGCTTTTACAGTTACTTTCGGGGGGAGGCCTTGTGAACAGCATTTGAGAGACAGAAAAATACATTCAGAGAGGTTGAGTGACTTGCCAAAGGTCACACAGCTTTTAAGGGGCGACCCACAATTCTAACCCAGGTCCTTGGTCTCTCTGTTGTTTCTGCTGCCCCCAAGTTTCATTAGCTCTCAAATGGCCATAAACGTGTAGAAATCAGTCTGACAACTCTCTTTTAATAGTAAATAAAATGCAAAAGCTGTCATTGATGCTAGCCAGTGGCTACTGGGTGACTGGTGGCTGCTTTCCTTAAGAGTCACTCCCGGGCATATGCTTGTGGGGGGCGGGGCATGCACGTGTGTGTGTCTGCACACTCACAGCTTAGACCAAAACCATGCAATCTCCTCAGTAGGCTATGGAGGCCAGAAGCCAATGCCCCATCCACGGGCATGAGCAATTCTTTCAACTAGAGAGTCCTTTACTTTCTGAAAACTGCTTACAGACTCAATGCTGAATATGTACTTCCTCGCGCATTTGACGTTTTTTCCTTGTGCTTGCCTGACTTCAACCCAGAAAATTCCAACTTCAATTTGTTATATGCTCTATATTACTTTCACAGATGTATTTTTTTTTAAGTTTTTAGTGTGTGTGTGTGTGTGTGTGTGTGTGTGTGTGTGTGTATGAGAGAGAGAGAGAGATAGAGAGAGAGAGAGAGAAGCAGAGAATCCTGAGCAGGCTCCACTGTCAGCACAGAGCCCGATGCGGGACTCGAACTCAGGCACTGAGATCACAACCTGAACCGAAACCAAGAGTCAGACAACTTAACTGACTGAGCCCTCTGCGCGCCCGTCACAGATGTACATTAACAGCACGAAATGAAAGTTTTCTGAACGCCCGTACTGATATTTGGTAGCTGGTATGTGGTCCTTACACAGTCATAACCCACCCCATCCTGGACAGTGAGTGCCGAAGGTCTTTTGGCTCCTAAGCAAACTCAGTAAGTGGTTCTGTGTCTGCTGCTCACCTTGGGGAGCTTTCTCCTCCGGAGGAACAGCGACGTGGCATCCCGGCCTGAGTTGGGTGGCATCACTTCTTTGATTTCGATGGTATCGTCACACAGAAAGTAATGCAGAACGAGTTCTCTCCGGTCGCCGAACATCGAGGCGGAGTCATCCCACACGCAGAAAAAACGTAAGACCTTCCTGTTATACTCCAGGAACTGTCTGAGGGTGTCAAAGGACTCATAGGGACGTAAGGGTTTCATGCGGTCTAGTGTCTGAAAAATGGGAAAAAAAGGTCAGTAACCGTGGTTGTGCGTAATCACTCCTGGGATACAAGCAATCAAAGCACATAGAGAGATCTTTCCCATAGACTATTCCGGGACATTTTAAAAAATTTCAGTGGACTAATACCATACGTGTATATAAGTTTTCACCTTAAAAATACAGATAATCAGGGGCGCCTGGGTGGCTCAGTGGGGTAAGCCTCCGACTTCAGCTCAGGTCACGATGTCGTGGTCCATGAGTTTGAGCCCCGCGTCGGGCTCTGTGCTGACAGCTCAGAGCCTGGAGCCTGCTTCAGAATCTGTGTCTCCCCTCATCCCGCTCACACTCTGTCTCTTTCTCTCTCTCTCTCTCTCAAAAATAAATATTTAAAAAATACAATCAAGTAGTAGGAAGATTTTAATATTAAACACTGTTTTAATACACTAAAATATACTTCTATACTGTTTTTGAAAACTGGTTTTTCTCAAAGAGTTAAAATTCTTTACTTGTTTATCTTTTAGAGAAGAGAGAGAGGAGGGGCAGAGAGACAGGGAGACAGAGAATCCCAAGCAGGCTCGGCACTGTTAGCGCAGAGCCCAATATGAGGCTCAAACTCACAAACCGCAAGATCATGACCTGAGCCAAAATCAAGAGTCGGATGCCAAACCAACTGAGCCACCCAGGCGCCCCGACCCCCTACAAAGATGTAAGATTCTCAAGAACACACAAAACTAATGTGTGGTGACAGAAATTAGAACAGTAATTGCCTCTGGGTAGGGGACTGACCAGAAAGGGGGAGAAGGGGACTTTCTTGGGGTGATGGAAATACTCCGTATCTTGATTTTTGTGTCACTTACTAGGTCGTATACATTTTTCAAAACGTGTTCATCTGTACACCTAAGATTTATATACATCTGAGCCTCTGGTAATTCTATCTCAACCCCCAAAAGACACCAGTTGGTCTTCCACTGAAAATTCCTATCAGTATATCCTTCTAATGCATCTAAGAATTTTTGTAAAAGTAAAAGGGAGCAAACAGGTCATACTTTTATTTTTCTCAAAAGCTTAAGATATCAAGGCTCCGGAAGGCCAGGAAAACAGGAACAGAGCTAATGGAGGACATGGAGGACTTTCCAAGCCACAGAGAACCACTGGCTGGGTTCTGTGCACCGCCTCCCCCCCCCCCCCCCCCCCCCCCCACGCCAGGCGTCTCTAATTCTACAGTCTTCTGGGTGTGACTTTTCTCAACTTGCATGCCCTCAGGCTTGTCTTGGAGCTAAACCTCCCCCATTCTACCTCCTGTAGCCAAACAGGATGGTCATAGAGGGAAGTGCTCACTGGGAGGGGACATACAATCCCAGATCAGGTTATACAGTCGTATTTGTAAATTCTCCAAGTGTTCTCTCTGTCCGGGGCCATCCAGGTGCAGACTGGGGGAGACGTGATGGCCTTCCGGAGGCTCTTAGCCTTCTTCTTTGCCCTGGCTCTTTACCCGAAATTATGGGAACCTCTATGCTCATCAGTTGAAAAATGGCTTCTTTGGCATTACAGGGCCTTTAAGAGATGCATTATTGATCATACACCATTGGGGCTCTTTCCAGCTTAAGTGAAACTGCTTAATTTTAACTTGATATCCGAAGGCAGCAAACACTGGAGACGTAAACGCATTAAAGTCCATATAAAAGCCTCTTACGAAACTCCTAATTTTCCACAGATTTCTATATTTATGGAAGAGCTTTCTCCCTGAGGAGCTAAACGCTAAAATCATTTTCCCCGACCTGAAAGGAAATTCTTTAAAACCCTTCTTGGCGGTGCCTGGTATTTATTCTCGATTCCTGGAACAGATTTTTTTTTCTTCATAAACCTATGGAGTGGTTCAGTGCTCTCTGTGTTTAATCCAATGCATCATCATTCATAAGCATGATCATATAATACCGACTGTTCGTGAATGAGCATGACCACATGTAAAGGCTCTATATATATCTCGAGAGGGCTGCATGCCTACAGTAACATTAAAGAATAATTCTGCCAGGGCTAGGGGGCAGGAACAGATGAACGATCCTACACGCAGCTTTTAACAAGAGACCAGCGCAGAATCAAAGGAGAATTTTATTCTAAATTTCATGCTACCTTTTGGCAGGGAAATGAATGACAAATTTCAGAAACAACAGAAATGAGACTAAACTAATCAATAGGGACAGAAATGAGAACTGTGGCTATCTGTTCCCCAGTGGAAAGAGTGACTGACTGGAAAACATCATGAGGGAACTGGGGGGGGGGGGGGGGGGGGGGGGGGGGGGGGGGGGGGGCGCGGGAATGGACACGTTCTGTGCCTCGATCTGGGTGTGGATAACACGGGTGGGTGCGCTGGTTAAGACTCCTCCGATGGTACGCTTCGTTTCTGCGTATTTTACCCTGTCTAATCCTACTTCAATAAAAAAGAAGAAGAAAATGACAGTAGTCAGATTCTGGGTAAGAAGCACAAGATTTGAGTTGAAGCCCAGGTATATGACCTTCCACTTGGACACGTGCCCTTCTGGGTCTTCAGATTACTCTGTAAAAAAACTAAATAAATAAAATTTGGGCCAGGGGATCATTAAAAAAAAAAAAAAAGACAACTTTAGAAAGACAACGATAATAGTACACACGCTGGTTCTTTCCCTCCTGTACTAACTGGGATCAGACTTTGAAGACAAATGTGCTTTTATAATGGGGTACATCAGAATCATGGCCCTTCCCACTCTTCTAGAACATCTCTACATCTGATGCCACCATCGGCAGAGCTGGGAGTCCTGAGGAAGAAGGAAAATGGTATGCCCGACGTTTAGTGCAGTCAATCAATAGTACAGAAGCAGAAATTTTCCCAGAGGTAAGCAACCACAATGGGAGAGGCAAACCGGGTAAGAGTGCACCTAACTCTTATACTGTCAGTGCCCACAAAGGCAGTCATGGGCTCTTGGAAACTGTCCCATGTGGGTGGCTCACTAGACCCCTGCTGCCTGGAAGGGAAGCTCTCTGTGGAGAGAGGTAGGGGTGGGGGCAGTGAGAGAAGACCTTCCTGCCCTGAGGTCAATACCCAGAGTTCCCTCCAGCCCCCAGGAGGACAGGATAACTCCAGTGTCTCTGACCCCAAAATTTCTTTCACATCTGCATCTGGAGTGCAACGATCCTTTACGGACAGACTCTCCTTTATCGATTCTCATTGTGAAGACAAGAACTCACGGATGTATCAACCACTTACCTCTCTCCGGGTCTTCATGTAAGGATCTTCTGGACACCGCCCTGGGGGGTTGAGTTTGACTCCTATCTTCTTCAGAAAGTTCTTTGTGAATGTATCGCAATTGTAAATCCTGAATGTCCGGCCGTAAAAGACAACGTCTATGTTAATATTGAAATGATATACGGTATAAAACTTATCTTCATCCGGAGGTGGGAGAGCAATCCGATGACGCCGGATAAAAGTCCCTATGGTGTGGAACAAGATACGACTGTTTCATTGGGTGGCTAATAAGGAAGAGGTCATAGCACATCTCAGGAACTACCCTGAACATTTTCCCAGAACGGGGAAGTGGGCAGAGGGCTGGTTCTTGGAGGCAGCATCAGTATGTTCACACTCAGAGTACCTGAGGGAGCTGAAACTTCTGCGGTCCACAGTCACTGACCAGCCTTGTATGTTATTAGTTGCCTACGTGGTCCCAGGGAAGGGCTTGAATAAACCATCAAGACTAGGGAAGGAAGAGGGGCACAAACAGAGTGACCTAAGGTGCCAGACACGGCCACCATGTCTTTCTCCAGAACAAGCATGCTCACCGTCACCCAGCAGCACTCAATGTGAGCTCACTAAACAAGGCACTAAGAGCTCAAGGTGAAGTGCTCACAAACATGCAAGCTCTTGGCTCAAAAAACAAAATTAACTAACAAGCTTCAATATGGTAGGTGCCAACGCCATCATTTACAGCTTCTATAAGCTCTATGGAACCTTCTTTCCTCTACCAACCTCTTCTCCCTCCATGTTTGATAGCCTCTGTTCAAGGACCCCCTCCCAACCACCTCTACACGGTGATGGTCGTCGGAGGCTTCGTAGTTTTAGACAGTGTTCTGGGCCAAAGGTTGTGGATCACATCCCATCATCTACTTCTAACCCTATGATGCCCATTTGCTCCTCCTCTTGAGAATATAGACCCTGGGGGTTCCCAAGTATACCCAAAACGGTGGTTTAGCCGCCGGAGGTAAAAGGGTTCCTTTCCCAGATGAGTGTACCAATGACACCATACCATACCAGCCAACTTCCCCAAATACTGCTGAAACCTGTTGCCAAGAATTATTTAGGGCTTGACATTTTATCCTACCTGCAAAGCCAACACATCAAGCCTGCCACAGTTTCACGGCTGCTGGTGGAAGACATGAGATGTCTTGGTTAGAGACAAAAGGGTAGTTATTGCTCACAGCCACAACAGCGGCCGGAACACCAGCATTTTTTTGCACCAGCTTCCCGAGCCTCAATTCCCACAGGATGACACAAGGTCCACGTCACTCCTGCCCACGCAGTGGGTTATGTGACAGGAGAGGAAACCCTGAGCTTAGAGAACCTAAATCTTTTATGATGGACAAGAAGCATCACAGGGAGGTAACATCGTTACGAGACTGGGCAGCAAGCACGTCCTCCCTTTGTTCTGGAAGGAGACACCACTCTGTCTCTCAAGGCTGTGAGCAAACCTGCACTTTGCTCCCGAGGGAGATGCTACCTCAGTCTCCCAAAGCTGCTTGTGGTATAAACATCCTAGAAGAGAGTCTAAAACAAAGAGCAGGCAACGCCTCTGTTCGTAAGATCTACCAAGAGGTAAGAGAGAATGGTCTCTCAGCATCTGTGGCTGACGCTGGCCTGAGAATCTACTCCACAACAGTAAAGAGAGAAAGAGAAGAGGTGGGAAAAAAGTCAAAGTGGCTGGTGTGACCTATGTGAGGAAGGAAGTATTTTAGTATAAAGACGTCAGGCAACTTCTTCATACTTTATAGAGCGCTGAGAATGGCACCTTTCCCCAAAGCCTAGAAATACTTGTCAATTATTCATTCCTATTCATTACGGAACGTTTCGTGAATATCTTTATGTGCCAGGAACCGTGTTGAGCTCTATTCCATTATTCTACTAATCATCTTTTCACACTGGTAAGGGGAAATTCACTCAAATGAGTTCCATCTTCTTTTCTTTGTAGCAATTTTTAATTACTTGGAACATTAAATTAAAATAATAAAACTGTAAAATTAGAACTGGCCCAGAATATCTTTAAATGCACTACATAAAAGGTGATATAATTTTACTGCAAAAAAAATTATACTTCAATTAGCCTTAATTCATGCCCCTGAAAACAGTATGCAAATTATTAAATCATTCAAGATCAGACACTTAGAACAAATTGCATACTTAAACATCTATAAAAGCATGGGCATTTCAGGTATTTTCCGAAGCCATTATATATCTCTTTAAAAATACTTATATTGTGACAGTTTTTAAGGTATATAAAAGTTATTCAATGGCCAGGAGCATCTTCGGAAATTCCATCTATCTTATATTTGTACTTCATTATAAAAATTCAAGTAAGCAGGTTATGCCGATTTCTGTTCAGTAAGACTTCAAATAGGAATCTTTTGTTTTTCCAGGCGGAAAAGGCCAGCCCACCTACAGAGCTTTTAAATAATAATAATCAGAATCAACACCATGGCCCTAGGATGTGCTTTCATACACATTTTCTCATTTAATCTTCACTAATCCCACGAGGCAGATAATGCACGAAATAGAAATATTCAACGTACGGATGAGAAGGTCAAGGTGCCGAGTGGCTGAGTGGCCGAGGTCACACCCTGACATATGGCAGAAAAGGATCTCGAAACCTGGGGTTTCAAGCTCTACGTAGATACCGGCACTTTCCACAGTTGGTGCTCCATGATGTCTCACCGAACACGAGCCACAAATTATGTAAGTGAAGGAGAGCAGGGAGTGTTCCAGGTAAAACAGGACAGGGGGCACTTGGGTGGCTCAGTCGGCTAAGGGTCCAACTCTTGATGTCAGCTCAGGTCATGATCTCATGGTTTGGGAGTTCAAGCCCCGCATCGGGTTCTGTGCTGACAAGGTGGAGGGCGCTTGGGATTCTCTCTCTCCCCACCCCCTGTCTCTGCGACCTCCCCCACTTGCACGTGTGCTCTCTCTCTCAAAATAAATAAATAATTTCTTTAAAACCCAAAGTCACAATTCCACACAAATTAGAAAACAAATGGTGGGCCCTTTGAAATGGACAGTTGCCCCTGAGAGCTTTCAATAATATATTCGTGGCATCCCTCAACTGTGTCGTTTGGGGAGCGAAATGTCTATTTCTTGATTTGCTGGGTGTCTCATAGTCCTCCATTGTAAATGGCAGGAACTCTACCAGCAAGAATTTGTTCTGGAATGCCAAAGAAATGGGCAGGATAGCAGGTCTTGGGCATACGCTGCAGAGCACCTGAGGTCAAAGTATATAAATAAAGACAATGCTCTACAAATGGAAAAACGAGAACGGAAGTACTATATCTACCCTTGAAATGTTGAAACGTTTGCCTTCCTGACTGCTCCCAAAAGACCATTTGGGCAGATGTCAGGGCATCGGGTACCTGTTTTTAAACTCCTGATCTTCATAATTTCTCTCTCTCCTCCTTTTTAAAGACCCCGGCTGACTGACTGACTGACTATGCTCTGCAAACTTTAACTTGCTAACATCTCCCTGTGGTTTAGATCAAAATGATGATACATCCATTTATATTCAGTGCATTTTCCTTTCATCCACTTGAGACCTGCTTTCGATCTTTGCCCATACCACTAAATTTGGTTTTTAGAAATTCACCTTCCAGAACTGAGACTCCCACCTCTTGCCTCTATCTTAATTTTCGGTAGGTTTCATTAAGTTTAGTGACACGGCACACCTAGGATACAGCAGAGTCTAGAGACAGGGATGTCTTAGGGGAATGAATATTTGACCAGAACTGCCACCTGCCGCTGTGTTGACTAAGTTTGTATCCTAAAAATATTAAGATCCTTCACTGTGATCAGACATGATACGGTTTCTTCTCTTATGTTCACGCTTATTCCTCCGCTAAAATGACTATTCCATTTTGATTTTTACAAAATGTCCTTCTTTGGCACTTTGGTTTTACAAGAATCACTTTTTTTTATATGTAGACAGCCTGACACCTGTCTTGTAGCAAAAGAATACAAACTTGAAAAATTCCAAGGGCGCCTGGGTGGCTCCGTCGGCTAAGCGTCCAACTTCAGCTCAGGTCGTGATTTCACAGTTCGTGAGTTCGAGCCCCGCGTCGGGCTCTGTGCGGACACCTCAGAGCCTGGGGCCTGCTTCCGGTTCTGTGTCTCCCTTTCTCTCTGCCCCTCCCCTGCTCGCTCGCTCTCCCTCAAAATAAAATAAACTTAAAAAAAAAATAATCCTATGCATGTCCCCGCTAGCCACCAAATGAGCCCCAAACACTCATATGATAGGTGCTCGAACATCCTCTTATATTATTGCCTCCTCTCCTAATTTTCCTTATACACCCTAGGATAGGCTCCTGAGTACCCCAACTCCATACCCCACCACTTTCCCACCTCTTGGTATCATGCTATCCCTCTTGGCTAATATGCCTTCACCTTCCATCTTTTTCTGGAGAGACCTATGAGGCACCACTCAATGTCTTCTCTAGTGGATCCTGGTGTTTCTTCTCCTGATCCCTCAAAGGACCTGGGGCCATTTCTGATGCCTGCACTGTGTTATGGACACTGTCTACCACTTTGCCTTTCCTATTTTCTTTCCTCCCTCCTCTCCTTTCTTTCTTCAACAAATATTTATCGAGCAGCCACCATGTACCAAACACCCGTCTTCACAGGCCAATGACTTACCTCCACTCTTAAGTTCTACTCTGCTCCATTCAATGGCAACCCCTTCCCCAAGGTCCACCCTCTGGGGTTGCCAGATTTAGTCAGCACAGTGAAATACAGGCTGCCTAATTAAATAGGAATTCTAGATCTAGAGTGAACCATTTTAGTCTAAGTGTGTCCCAGGAAATATTTCGGACACACTAAAACCTTCATTGCTTATCTGAAATTCAAATTTAACTAAGTATCTTGTATTTTATCTGCAAACATTAGCACCATCCCTCCTCCACGTTATAGGAAGCAGTACTTCGATGTACTATATGCCCAACGTGAATGAATGACGTATGAATGTCATATGCCCAATATGAATGAATAACATATGTGCGTGACATTCTGCGATTACACTTGCTTGATTAGATTATCTTACAGTATACAAAGCATGTGAGAAAATATTATGTTGAAGGGGGAAACAAGTCACTAATAGAAATCCGTGTTCTTTTTTTGTTTATTTACTTTTGAGAGAGAGAGAGAGAGCACACGCTCCAGAGTTGGGAGGGAGGAAACGGTAGGAGGA